TGAACTCGTAAGATGCAGTATGATTTCGGATTCAATTCAAAAGTTGCCCTCCCCCAATTCATGATTGAAAAACACTAAAAAACGAGGATTCATCAAACTGAGCTTTTAAGAATAGCTAGCCAACATCCTAATTCCTTTATTGACAGAGAATATGTTTCTAACATTAAAAAGTTACCAAAAAAAATTAAAAAGCTAAAGTATTCATTTGGTGTAAAGTTTCAATTTGGCCCCTTAACTTTAAAAAGTATATTTTTTGTTTTTTAACTCTAAAATTATTACTCTTAAATGATGATTTTTTGAAACAATCATTGTTGTTTTGAAAATTAAATTTAATACGTTAGCATTTAATAATATTTTACTAATATTTAAGAGTTCAATACCATTATTTTTGGTTAGCGGTTTTAAGATTAAATGATTAAAAGTTTACTTTTTAAAGTTAAGGGACAAAAATGAAACATTGTCTAAAGTTAAAGAACTAAAAGTATATTTTAACAAAATTAAAAAAAAAATCACAGCTTAGTATCAAATACACTCTATTTGCCCTAATTTTTTAAGTGTTAAAAAAAGCATAAACAAACCCATATAAAAAATTAATTTAAAGGTCAATTTCTGGTGAACATATCTTTTTAATTTAAATACAAATTAGACAAATGACATATTATTGTAAAGTTCACTGAGCTCAGTTTTTAATACAATGAGACCCATTTAAAAAAGCTTTTTATTTTGAAAGTTATTTTTTAAAATTTTAAGTTTTAATATGTTAAGAAAAAGAAAAAATAAATTCAAATTTGATGCAGTAAATTTGAATTGTTTTGCATTACATTCGAATTTGTTTAAACAAATTTGTATTTTATGTAGTAAAGAATTTGGTCATCACATGAGCAAATTCACATTTTATGCAGCAATTTTGGATATAACCTATCAAATTCGCATTTGTTCCACCAAATTCGAATTTACTCATTTCTTTATCACAGTTAAAGCTTAGCATCCATAGATAACTTTCCCAATTTAAATTCAAAATAGACAATTAACATATTATTAAAAAAAAAAATATCTGAGTCTACTTTTTAATAAAATATTACCCGTTCAAAAATGTTTCATATTTTTAAATTTATGATTGAAAGAGTAAGCAAAGGTTAACAAAACAAATTTCTTTTTTTTTTTTTTATTTCTTCCTAACACACCCTATTTGCTCTTGTTTTCAGTTTAGTAAACAAAGCAATTCACTCAGACAGATTGGAAATGACCATTTATAAAATGAATGCTCTTTTTCTTCAAGCCTTCTCGTTAATGTTCGTCCTAAGGTAATTGATTGCTTGTTAGACATTCTCATGGTTCATAAGGGAGAGACTTGGTCCATTAGCAGGCCATTAGTTTTAAAAATTAAACAGAAGGGAAATCATGTTTGAAAATTTTAAAATAGCTACAATCCGAGTGCCATATCTCCAACTCAAGAACAACGTAGCCGTGATGAGGTAAAGGAGCAGGAATCCTTTGAAAACAGCACACTACTCAAACCCACATGTGAAGTGATGATAAGCCAATATTCAACATTGCTGAAGGTCCCCTTCGAGAACAAACGCCTTTGTCCATCATTTTCTACTTCAACGTTGTGATGGGTCTTCAAGCAACTCCCACCAAAATTTGTGGGAACCAATGATGAAAAATTTGCTGTTGTCAAAAATTTGGTTTCTGAAAAATTTTACAACCAAGCATACACCGCCTATGGAAACTCAACATTTTCCATTTTCATTGCAAGAGCGTACCAACCAGGCTCTACGATGTTTGGTATACACAAAAAAAAAAGAAAAAAAAAAAAAAGAGAGTAGACAGAGTATCAATAGTTTGCACATAATTTCATTCACTTAAAAGATTCAGCGATGCAGAATCTGTTGGAGTTTTAGTGTGTGAGTGTGTCAAAAGAAGTCTCATAATCGAACCATATTTTTATTATTTTTTGCAGGTGTTGTCACAGAATCAGCTCATCAGCGTCAACTGGACGGACAATACTGGAGTCGGCAGAACAGCAATAGACTAAATACCAGGGAAAGAACCTTGGTCGAAGTAGATGGTGCTTTTCTTATAGATCCAACGCTGCTGCTTGTGGGGGGATTCTTAAGGACATGAACCAAGGCCTTTTGGAAGGTTCCCTTCTCCAATTAGACGTCACTGATAGTCTTGCGGCGGAACTTTATTGCTGCTTGATGGGTCTTAAAGGGGCCTGTGATCGCGACTATCGAGATATAGTTCTCAGAAGCGGTTCTGCAGAAGCTTTTGACCTGATTGAAGGTTGATAAATGACATACATGAAGACTGGTCGCTGATTATGGAGATCAAAGAGATGATGAACAGAGCATGGCAAGTGGAACTTCAGCAATTGAGATGATAATGAGTTAGCATATGTAGCCCTCATGATCTTCAAGTTTAGGGTTCCACGTCTTTAAGGGCATGCTGCAGTCTGATGAGTTAAGCATCCTTAGTTTTCCTTCTTTTCAGACGTATCAAAAAAATAGAGTCAGAATCCAGAAAACCCTGTCATTTCCAGCCTTGCAGATTGTGTATCCCTGTTTGGAATCTGGATCTTCAAAAGCTGGCATGGTTTGAAATTGGTTAAATTGGAGGTAGTCCTTCCACTCTACAACATAAGCATCTTTCAACCATTTCACTGGAACTAAGATAAAACATTAATGATGTTTTGAAAGAGTTAAAAGAATATGATGAGTCATATTTTTTTTATTACTTTTCAAGTAACCTATATTATGGATAAGAACATCTTTAGTTGGTTTGTATTTCGGACCAGCGGGGGTTATACCAATATATTACTAATATTTCGCACAATATATAAATTGTCAATTTCCCTGCTTGGTAGAATCTGAATCCGAAAGACAACCCCGTAAGGTTCCTTCATAAATAGGGATTGCCATGTGCGTGTCCTTGTTTGGAGGAACTCATTTTGCACATTACATAAAATGCAGAGTGTCAATGCGCAGTTGCGCTAATTTGAAGCCAAATATAAATGGTGTTGATTTAAAGTGCCACAGCGTTGTGATTCCATAAATTCTAGCAAATGTCAATGTGGGGGAAGATCTTTTTGGGTGCTTTTATTATTCAACCAAGGAAGCCGTTTGTTTTGATTGTTGTGGCCAATAAAAATGAAGCATCAATGTCTGAGCACTTGTTTGGAACAAGAAAGGTCCTTCTTCTTTGAGCTCTGTCGCTTGGCCGGATGGTTAGAAAGGGCGTCCAAGGTGCGCGCCTACCTCCAGGTCTCGGTTTCGACATCTCACCCCGCCTCAACTTAGAGGTAACTCCGGATTAGTCGGTCTCCTTCGGGGGTCGGATACTGGGGGCTTTACGCAAAAAGAAAGGTCCTTCTTTCTTAATGTGCAGCCATGTGATTAGTGTAGAGAGTATATTCAGGACTGCAGGTAGTATTATCATACGCCCTCTAGCATATTGTCCGTTGTAACTAGAATTTTGAAAATTCATATTTAGTATGGGCTGGGTTTTGAATAATCCTACATTGTTTTGTACAGGTCTTTGCTAGTGGCCAATGCAGGAGACTGCAGAGTTGTTTTCTCCAGACGTGGAAGGGCAATAGAAATGTCCAAAGATGATAGGCCGGCCCTTCTGCGTGAAAGAGAGGAAGTGAATTGAGTCTCTGGTTGGATTCGTTGATAATGCTTTTCTGAATGGCCAGTTAGCTGTCAGTGTCACGGGCATTAAGCGACTAGTATCTTGAGGGCTTGAAGGAAATGAGCGAAAGAAAAGAACCTTTTAAGGGCTAAGCCAGAACTCAAACTGACCACAATAACCAAAAAAGATGAGGTTTTGATAATTGGAAGTGATGGGATATGGGACGTTTTCTGCAGCAAATATGCTGGGGATTTTGCAAGGAGAGGCTTCAAGAGCATAATGATGTGAAACTATGCTGTAAAGAGACAGTGGAGGAAACCATAAAGAGAAACTCAACAGGTAAGATAACTGTGATGGTAGCGTGTTTTCACTTAGAACCACCCCCACCTGTGGTTGTAGAGAGGCCAAGATTCAGAAGCAGCATATCTGCTGAGGGACTTCAGACCTCAATTCCTTACTGGAAGGATGGAATATATTTTTGGTCTGCGACGTAGCTGATTTTTTTTTTCCCTCTTGAAATGTGATTGTGTACATATATTAATCTATCACGCACAAAATATGCCTCCTTGCATCTCCAAATGAATGATGTTCAACCTAGTCATGGAGCGGGGAAAGGCTCTGAAAAATGTAATACAAATTTATACCGCGTTAGGATTATTTTTTTCCTGTTAGTTAATGGGAAAGCGAGAGCGCAACATATAAGAGGATTATAATCTACATTTGAGACTGTACAGAAACAAGCACTGCAGTGGTATTTTTCATGGGTTCAAAATCAAATCATTGTAGGATAATTGTTTATCTACCAAGCTTCTATTGAGATACGCTGTTTTTCATGCAGAAGTGTACGATTTGTTTGAAAATGCCTAGATTTGATTGGATCAAATGAAGCTAAAATATAATATGCGAGGCACAAAATGAAACTCATCCAAGATATTTGAAATTCTATTTATGATTCACTAGTTCTTAAAGATTGTTAATAGATCAAGTCATAATCTTAGATTTCTTTTCAAACTAGGATCAGTCAGACCCATTTCTCTACTTTTTTTTCCCCCTTGTAAAGTTGAAGAGAATCGAATACTTATGTGGGCCATTATTTTATAAACAGTTTTTAATACTAAACGATTTTATTCCTCCTTTGTTTAATTTTACACTGTTGTTACAAGTCAAAGCGTTGATCCAGGTTAACACAGAGCACTATGGTTAAGATCATATTAGAATCAGATGAAACGGGCAGTTTTAAAATAAACAGTTCAGCTATAATGTCGGAACATCACAAATTGTCATGTTATCCCATGCACAGAAAGTTGAAGAGAAATTAAAAACACATAAAAATAGAAGGAAAAAATATTGGGGAGCATGTTGGATTATCTCTCTTAAAAAACAAAATCAACCAATATTATATATTCTGTATCAGTGAACAAAGAATGAGTAAATAATACAAAGTTGAATGATAATGATCTCATCTGTATTTCATATCCTGTGACTTCTCTAACATATAAAACACCAATGGCATCCCTGGCCTAAATTAACAAAAATGTATTTCTACCATTCTATTTCCAAAATCACTTTATTGCATTCATCTTATCTCTGATCTCAGTTCTTGCCACACGAACTAGGAACAAGCCAGCAAGGAAAATAGACAGAATTAGCATAAAGAAGACACTGTTCCATCCCCTAGTAGAAATATACCCTGCCAAGAGTGGCCCAAGAGCGGCTCCAACAGAACCAGTACCGTCAATGATTGCAGTCACAGTTGCCAGTGCTCGTGAATTCCCTTGATTCAACGTCTGTGTACCAAGATCAGCTGCCACAGCAGTTGTGATTAGTGCATACGGACCATTCACCAAAAAGCCCGAAAGGAACATCAACGCAATGTTGATCAACATAGAGAGGCTCCCATAAAGCCGGTAGAGAACCAGCATTGGAATTGATAGGAACAAGAATATGATAGAAGTAACGGCCCGAGCTTCAATCATGTCAGAAATGAAGCCAGCCATAACTCCACCAAGAACTCCTCCAACGTCAAATATTGTTGAAAGTATTCCAGCAGATTTTTTAGACAAATGCACACCCGCAACAGCTATAAATGAAAACCAGAATCAGCTATGAAGGAAGCAGCAGATTTACATCGAAGAAAAACACAGCCTCTGCTATTTAGCATTTGGCTGTATTGTGGTCAACATTGAAAACATTGGGAAGACATGACCACCAATCAAAAAAACTTTAGGTCTCAATCTACAACAGATAGATTGTCTAAGCAACCGGGTCAATCATAACTACTAGAAAAGGCATTCTACCCACACATTTCAATAAAACGTAAATGTTTGAATTGGTTAAATAGCTTGATCAATATAAAGAATCAGTCACACTAATAATATGCAAATGTTAATAATAAGTGAAGCAAAAGACAAACCAAATCTATGTGAAAACATTTATACACACAACAACAGTTACCTGTGTGCCTAATGTAGAAGGGCAACCAATAGAGAAAAGTGTAAGCAACCAGCTTAGAGAAAAAGAGACAAAAGGCAAATGCAGCCACCCCAGGTAACTTCCACGCCTCAAAAAACCCAATTGCAGATGAAGAATCCGAATCATCAGAATCAAGGAGTTTTGCTTCCTCTGTTTCCGATTTTTGCACATTCTCTACTCCATCTGTTTCTACATTCATTTCAATCTCACTTGCAGATTGCACAAATCCCATGTCCTCTGGACTCACAACAAGAAACACATACACCAGAATCCCCATACAAATGATAAGAAGTCCAGGCACCACAAAGGACCAACCCCATCCGAATTCTAACACTGCAGAGGCAACAATCGAACCAATGATGTTCCCAACTGAGGTATGAGAACTCCATATCCCCATTATCAAGCCCCGCTTTGATTTTCCAAACCAATTACCCACGACTGCAACCACACAAGGCCACCCTATTGACTGAAACAACCCACAAATAATTTGAACTCCAATAAAAAACCCCAACACATGAATATCAAACCAATAGCCTAAGCCAAAAAGTATGGTAAAAATGCCACTACCCATCATCCCAAATACAAGGAACAACCTCAAATCAATTCGATCACCAATATGACCTGCCACGTACATGCCCACAGCGTAGGAAGAAAGAAAAGCGAGATCCAGCTCGCCAAGCCGGTGAGTTCCCCTATCTCCATTGAACGGAGGCCAACCTGTTTCGCCGGGTCCGATAATAGAACCTTGAGTCGAATTGGAATTAATCGTCGGTCCCAGAACACTCTTCACAATACTGGGAGGCTTTCGGGAGGCATGGAAGGAAGCATATGCAAGGAATGTGATAACAAGAACTAAGATTTGGTGAAAAAGTAGGGTTTTGTGAGGGGGTTTCAGGCTTGGGAAGAGAGTCAAAGCCGGAGCGAGACTCGAAAGCTGGGATGGCATCGCTATTCATTGGGGATCCACCATGCAAAATGGTAGCATAAAGACAAAATATTTTTGCTATTTTACACAATCATCCCAACCAGACCACCCAAGATCTCCTAGACGCTGTGGATAGTTCCAAGCTTCGGAGAGGAATATTATACCAGTCAACTGTAACAGAACATTTAGTATGAAATCACCTGCAGCTTTCTTTTCCTATTTTACTACAAGCGCTACACATAAAGAGAAAATGAGCGAACAAGCGATCTGGGATTGCGAGTCTCGTCCCGAGTTCATTCAATACGAAAGCGGAGTTGCAGAACGGCTTCGTACAGGAGTTGGAAATCCTTTATACATAGACCATGAAGCTGTGAAAGGAAGGAGCTCAGAAAGGGAATTTTCAGGCGAAAGGTCAAAACCTTTTGCTTGCAACGACAGATTCCAAAACTAGTGCGGTGACTTGTCGTCGACGATCCCCGCGAGCGGTATGTATCGTTTGGTGGAACTGGAATGTTTTAAAAGCCGGCCGGCTGTCCAACTGGAAAAGAAAGCAGGTCACGATTCAACCGGTTGCATCGGTTCAACCGTTCGGTTGTATAGGTAGCATAATAATTAAAAAAATTATATACCCTAAAAAAATTTAAGAAACACTTAAATATCTCAATTTTATAATAAGTTAACAAGCTCACATAATATTAATATACCTCACAAAATTATTGAAAATAATAAAAACATAAATAAAATAAGAAATGAGAAATAACTCGATAAGGAAAAATATATATAAATAGGAATTTGAAATTAAAAAAAAAAAAAGTAAAACGGTCCCTAGGTAAACGTGTGGGCCGATTGCAAGCATTAAATGAAAGTTATTACTTTTACAACACTGAAGACCAAACCAACACCATAATCTTGTCTTCATATCTCAACCCACTATTCTTTATGCTATTGTAGCCTTCTGACAACTTAGTAAAAGATTCAGGCTGTCCAGTTCGATCCAAATCTCTGCTTAAGACGGCTCGAAACGATTCAACTAGGAAGGCAGATAAATTATGTTAATCAAGCCAAAAAGCTTTTCAGTCACTAGCCGGATTCCAATCCGGTCTGATTTTTAAAACACTGTACTGTTTAGTGCACATTTTTTAAGAGAAACAACCGAGAATGTACTTTTTTATCCCCCACACCGTAGATGTTTTAAGAAAAAAGAAAAATGACACTAAATCCCATAAAGCACAAAGGACTGCAAAAAAAATCCCACAGCACTTAATAATAAATCTGAAATCCCAAACAAACTTCATTGCAATAAGAAAAAATGTGACAAGACCATATTGTCCTTAGTAATCTAGAAAGAAAAAGTGAGATTCAGAAGGATTTCCTATGTCTTTTTTCTTGAGCTCCTTCTTGAGAAATGAAACCTTGAAAAACAAAGAAATCAAAGTGGTTAAACATCTTTCGTCTTTACGGTCTCAACTGATTTGAAGGTTCAAAACTTTCTTTCCTTTCCTCTTCTAAAACATTGTGGTTGGCTAATTGGGTTTGGGTGTGTGGGTATATAGAAAATCCTTCTGCCTTTTAGCTGATGCAAAGCCTTTGTTTTTTGTCTACTATGAATAAGGTAAGCAATGCAAAGCTTGTATTTTGATTTTGGTGCATGTTGGTGATTCAAGTTGGAATTTTATTATGGATGGATAGGGTGATGATAGGTACTCTGTTTCTGGGTACATTGTAGATAGATTGATTATGAGTTTGCTCTGTTTAGGCATAATTCAATAAGAATGAATGGGGAAAAAAGTGAAAGTTAGTGTGAATAAAAACTATTACTACAAAATGAAAAAAAAAAAATCAATGTAAGCCACGATAGTTATTAGTACATCCACTTAACTTATCAATAACAAAATATGTTGTGCAGGTTAAATTAATGATGGTAAGTACTTCTAGAAAGCATCTATTGTGTTTCTTTCATATAAAAAGAAATTTGCAAATGATGGAGAAAATGATATGTAATATGATAGGGTTTGTGTAAGAACAAGAAACATAAGTGAAGCCCCAAGTTAAGAAGAGTTGAAGAAAATAATATCATCATTTATTGGAAAAGAAAGTCACTTAGCGTATTTGTTTTGAAATTCTCAGTTATGTTTAATATAAATACATTTGTTAAGTTTGTAGATGATAACGGTATAGAACATTTAATAAAGTTTAACGAAAAAAGTGGTAATATGTATGTAGGATTTTGATATGTAATCAGTTGTAATCATCTACACCCTTCTTTGTCAATATACCTTTCGTCCCTCGTCACTAATAGCATTATCACTTGTTAAGTTATTTGCTGTTTGAAAAAAATGTGATTTTTCAAATTACATAATATCATATAATATTGACAATTCCTCTGCAGTAATACGTATAATATAAAATATCTTTATTATAAGTTAATTATCAGTTATATGAAATTATGAAATCACTTATTATTAACTACACATTAACTTGTTAATGATGACAATGTAACTTGCCAATAATGGCACTATCACTTATTGGTTCATATGCTCATATGAATTTGTCCAAGTTTTGAAAAAATGTCATTCAATTAATATAAATTTCAATAATACATTTTCATTATAATTTTGATATAATATTTTTATTTTAAATGAAATATGATTGAATTACAAATTTGAAATTAACAATACATTTACTTGTCAATATTCTCTGTGTCAATTGCTAATTTCTAAACCCTAACTTGTCAATAGTTGCATTATAACTTGTCAATTTCCCTGCTGATATATGTGATTTTGAAAATTGTCCTATTTTTTGTTTACAAAATCAAACAATATGAAAGTAGGTCATATATGAATATGAAAGTAACTAATGATATTATATCACTTGTCAATTTTCATGCTACAGAATATTTTAACAATAATTGGACCATCACTTGTTAATCAGTACACAAACACTTGTTAATCTTCTTAGTTTTTTTTGTGTGTGTGTAAAACCTAAAGAATATGGAAACATGTAATTTTTAAAGAAGAATGTAAGTAACAACATTATATAAAAATCAACATAATTGAATTTGTTCACGCTACTAAATGAAATAATATTAGTTCCATACTTGGCATTTATGACAATAATATCAATTACAAAATATTATCACTAGTCATTTATAATACCCTTAATTCTCAATAACCTTACAATCAATACTAGGCCTAATTGAAAAAATAAAATAAAATCAGTTTCATAATGATCCAATTATAATCCCTCTACATCTTTTTTTTTTTTGTGTTTGCTTTTGCTGAAGCCTATTGGCATAGATAGCACTTTATCACCATGTTCATTGTTCCAATGAATAACAAGTTACTATAAGCATCTGTTGTAGTTCATTTTTTGAGCACCGTGGCATTATATATTGTGCATTATCCCGAAGAGTGTCATCCCACTCCTAAAGCCATGAGAGGACTTTTTTTTTAATAAAAAGGCAAATGATATTAATAAAAACAACAAACATCACAAAGTCTTAATCAACAAAAGGCAACTAGAAATAAATAAATAAAAAAGATGCAGGAAGAGAACCAATAACTTCAACATTTGTTCCAGAAAATAAAGGGAAAAAGGAATGAATGTCCTCCATGATGGTATTTCCTGATCCAACTATTGTGCTTGGATGAGTAAACTACTTTATAGTGGCCATAATGGTAATGGGAGAGGTGCTAGAGGAGAAGAAAGAGTTCACAATCCGAATGAGTGTGGACCATAAACATTTATAGTTGAAATGATTATCTTCCCTGTTCTTCCGAAACTAATGAAAGGATTGAAGAGTTTGACCCTAGAATGAGGTCCATGAAAAGCACACGACTATTTTCCTTTGTTGCAATTTAATTCTATGGAAAACTAGAATCCACCCCCCATTGTTAATATTACAAATTGGAAATGACATGAACACATTTGAAGACAATTTTTGAACAATGTGATTTTCAACAAAAGTCAGAGATGAAAACCAAAGTGTCTCTCAAATTTCCCTTGCAACTGTCAAAGGATCAGAAATAATTTTTTATGCAAGATTATATTCCTCTTTTTCTAAATAATGTTTCAAAGAATGATAATACCCTTAAGTAGGTGAGAGTGATCATCCATATGTAACTAGAGAAGAGTATTTTTCAACTGTTGGGAGATTTTTTTCATCCACACCACCAACCCTCATTTTTTTCATCCATTCCTACTAAATCATGCCCAAACAAAGTAAACCCATCATCAACCCACTCATAATATATCCAAAAATAGAGCACCCATCATTACCCTATGCATTCACAATGAAATCCTAACTTAAATCACCAACACACACCAAAAACACACAAGCTTTGCATTACTTACTTGTTCCTACTAAGCCAAAAACAAAAGCTTTGCATCAACTCAAGGGCAGAAGGACTTTCTATACACCCACACACACCCAGACCCAATCTACCAACCACAATGTTTTAGGAGAAGAAAAGAAAGAAAGTTTCAAATGTTAAAATTGGTAGAGATAATGAAGACAGATGGTGATGGGAAAGATGCTTGACCACTCTGATTTTTTTTGTTTTTCAATGTTTCATTTCTCATGAAGGAGCTCAAGGAAGAAGACATAGGAAATCTTTCTAAATCTCTTTTTTTTTTTCCTTTCTAAATCAAAAAGGACAACATCGTCTTCTCACATTTTCTTTTATTGTACTAAAGTTCCTTTAGGACTTCAGATTCATTACCAAGTTCTATGGGGCCTTTTTGCAGCATTTCGTGCTCTATGGGACCTCACTTTCATTTTTTCAAAGAAAAATCATGTTTATTTTTACCATATTTTTCTGGAGATTACTACATCCTATGCTTAATACCTTAAAAAACTTGTTGACTAATTTTAGTAAATTAAGAAAATTAATTAAGTTAGTTATTTGTATAAGTGTTGTCTTTCCTAAAATATTATTACTAATCAAGTGTATTAGTTAGAGCTATTATTTAATAAAAGCTTTAACATGTATAACTATTATAATGACTATCTTCCAAAATATATATATGAGAGACAAAGTAAATTGGT